GGCTCTGTAGCATCAAGTCCATGAGATTGAACTGGTGTATTTTGAAGATAAATCTGAGACTGGGACAAAATCGATCCCTTTGGGGGAATCAGCCCCAGACAGGGAGTCCTGAACGCAGTTCTCCACTCCCATCCTCAGTGTCCAAACACCTGGTGCAGCCAGCAAAGCCCAGCAGGTAACCTGGCTCACCAGTCACTAGATTTGAGGGTAAACCAAACTGCACTCCAGGTGCTGTGACCAGTGCCATGGTGCCCAACACTTGCATTAAGTACCATTTAGGATGCTTAAGGGTATCCAGGGCACCCACAGGGACTGGCAGACACTATACATACCTATGGGAAGCCCATTCCCTTCTGGAGCAGTGGTTGGACGCCAAGCAGGAGACTCCAGGGAGTCTTGAATGGTACTCAGCTCCTGTTTTTAATGACACTGCACCTTGCTCTCGCTTTCTGCTGGAGAAGGAGTTTAGGCACCTTGTGGAAATGGAGACATCTCCATGTAGGTGTGCCAGTGACGGACTTGGCTCCAGATTATTGCCGCAGATGATAATGTGTGTTATAAAGAGATAGACCACTGAATTTAATAACAAAGATCCTTAGAAATGCTAGATGGTAGCAAAATTGCTTGTAGATTATAATATAAGAAAAGGTGTAATAAATAAGAAATACATACACATCACCTTCCCCCCCAAAAAAAAATTCCTGCTTGTTTAGGAAAAAGAGTTTGTTCCTCAGGAGAAGCTAATTTTGGGATGCCCTTAGGATTTATATTTGATCTAGTGCTGTTTATTATCCTTATGTCTTTATAGTGGCGGCAGTTTTTGTCGGAGTGGAGGCTCTGAGCCCCTTCGTGGGTGTTTCCCAGCCACTTACACAGCTCTAGGAGTTCACAGGGACACGAGTGGCAGCGTTGCCACCGCTCGCAAAATTCCCTCTTGAGGTGCAAAATGTTTCTTCCCGGTGATTCTCCCCCCCCACCCCCAGTCGCAGCATGACCACCTTGATGTCGAGTTCAGGATGAAGTAGCTTTTATGCACCATGTGCGTGAGAAGCCCCCATACACCCGCATCAGTGCAACCACTTGCTTCTCGCCTGTGCTTTCTGCGTTCATGGGTATTCAAAAGTACTTCCCAAATCAGCTCTTTGATCAGCCCCACCAGCTAGCGGCTCCATTCTCAAATAAAACAGCCTCCTTTCACAGCTTGCTAAAAATAGTCGTTTCTTTAAAGCCTGAGGACGTGGTGGCTCATGTGACAGCGAAGAGGATGAAGGGTTATTTCTTTTGCTTTAGGCTTTGGGAGGAAAGCTGCCATGCTGCCGCAGCACCGTCCGGGTTTGTGCTTGCTCCCGCTTGGGCTTCACAGCCGTGTTGCCAGCCGAGTGGCTCTGGCATCCCTTCCTTTGCCGTGGCAGCCCGGCAGCTATTTGAGATGCAGATGCCATGTCCCAGTGCCCGCAGCCTCTTGGCTCTGGAGGGAAGGTGCGCGGTCACTGCCACAACTGAAAACAAACCCGTGAGACGGCAAGTCACAGCTTTTGGCTCTGGGGGGTTTGGGCAGGGCTCGTCCAAGGATGAAGGTGTTTCTTGCAAATTACAGACACGCAAATGGGAAATGATTCCACTTCATCACAGTTAAAATTCCTGATATTTAGCTCCCAACACCGTTCCAAGTGCAGCTTAAGGAGAGAAAGCAAGTCACAGATAAAACTTGCTCAGGCCTGTTCTTTCATGAATTCCTGCAGCAGCTCTCCCATGGTCTGGAGAGGTCTCGTTCTGCTGTCTGACGCCACAGCGTGCTACTGCAAAACCTGCTTCTAAGGCTCTGACTTGCAGTGGCCCCTCTCCCAGTAACCTGCTTGGGCTCAGTTTTCTCTGCTTACCTTTGAAGCTCTTCGTCATCTTTCTCCTTCTGAAGAAGCACCCCCAAAAAAGGCTCTAGTTTTAATGTAAGTGGAATTGGTTGCAGACCTTTTAAGGTAACTTATTCATACCCCGGCAATGCGTTTCTGGAGGAACGTGAAGCAGAAGATGGCTGGTATATGTGTGTACGACATTTTGGTTGCTGAGCAACCTGTTTCTTGCTTCAGCCACTTAGCATAAGAATCCAATTTCAAATAAGATACTAGGGATGCCGGCTGATTTACCAATAGCTAGTGTAACCTGCAAGGACTAGTTGGACAGGAAAACGAACCCGCTTTCTTGGGAAATAAGAAGCTTTGCAAGAACTTTCACCATAAAGGACCATATATCTGCAATGTTGCTTTGTAATTCCCATACGTAGTTTTTCATATTTGGGTTCTTGGGTAGACCTTAAATCACTGCTCTAGATACAGCATGCCCAGAAGCAGGGGTTCTTATCTACCATTCGGCAAAGCCAGCATTATCTTTCTTAATGCTTGTAAACTTCCCATGTTTTTATTAATAGCATCCTGAAAACTTGTGTAACCAGATGATGTTTGCTCCTTTTCTTCTGACAAGCTTGTTTTAACCAGTCTTAATAAAATAAAAGCTTTGGCATGAAGGCAAAGTAATCTTCCGTGTTGATGGAAGGGAAGAGTATACACTTAAAATATAGAAAAAAACCAGCTCCCTGAAAGTGTGCTGTGATTAGACTCACCAACTTGAATTATTATGTTTGGGGTTTTGGTTTTTTGTTTTTGCTTTGGTTGTTTGTCTGTTTTTTCCAGGCTTGTGTTTTTTGGAACTACCACCACCCAAAAGGAGCTGGGTTTTGTAGTATATTTAACACACCTCGTTTTTTAAGTCTGACTATCTTCTTGGCTTTCTGTCATCATTCACAGGAATTAATTGGAGATACTTGCCTACATTCATCCACCCAAGTACTGCTTCCTCCTTTCCTTCTCAGCAGTAGCTTATCTGCAGGGTCAAAGGAGTAATAGCAGTCACACTGAATGGGGAAACATGGGAACACAGCCCATATCCCGCTAGAAGAAGCATATGCATTTTTTTGCCCTGGTCTGGCCTCGAGAACCAGCTTTGCAGAGCCTGAAGAAGCAGGGTATAGGTCAGAGAGCAAGATGGAGAAGGCAATGGTTCAGCTCTGGTTTAGACCTGTGTTCCAGCGAGAGCTGACAGTTTGCAGCTATTCAAGCTGTCTCGCTCGCACAAGCTGCTTCCTCCTGATTATTCAGTATGAAATGAAGGTTTTAGACTCTAATATCCAGATAACCTTCATAATACAAGTAAAATGCAACCTTAATAGTAATCTTGGAAAGCATTTCTTTTTTTAATGTTGGCAGAAATGACTGGCTGCTAGCAAGATTGTGTATTTAAAGCTAGAAGACATCTTCCTGTGCCTTGCGTAGCTTGTGCGAGGAAGGGGTTGCATGTGCAGATACCCAGTCTCTCTACACCCTTTCTTCTTAATTTAGACTGAGTACATTTGATTCATAAGGAGTATTTTATGGGATTTTGGGGCTGTGACAGCAGGCAGCGGTTGCAGTAAGTTGTCTCCTGGCTGCTGGGCTTCACACAGTAGATCCAGCTTATTTCTGCATCTTTTAGCAGCTAATTATTCCAAAGTCACAAATCTAATTGTCCTGTGAGAGTTTGCTTTGGAACATCTTTCCTGAATAATCACTGCTGATTTTTGCATGTTTTTTCATAATCTAATTTAGAAAGGACAGAATGTTTTTAAGGAGCAGGACAATAGTTACGCAGCTCCAGTGGCTTCATTTTCCTGTGTGGAAATCAGTGGCACGTTCCTTCTGGGACCAGCGCTGCTGTTTGTGCACATGGCGGTTAAGCTTAAGCCCCCCTGGTAGAGGTATTTAAGGGTCATTTGTTATGGAAAACCTCGGACTTTTGTGTTAGGGGCACAAAATATTTAGTATGCAAATCCAATACGGCTGTTGATGGATAACTTATGAAGAGTCACCCACGCTGCGGTGCAGTTAGGGACTTGAGAAGGTGTGCAGCCATAGTTTCCAGATAGGTGGAATACAACCATAAAGAGGAAAAGAAGAAAAGATAAGAAGCAATGGCTTTAAATTACTGCAAGGGAAATTCAGGTTAGACGTTAGGAAAACTTTATCTAAAGATCCAAGGAACTAAATGACCTGGAGAGAGGGAGGAACATCCGGGAGGGTCTTTAGGAGGAGGTTGGACCAACGTTGGTCATGAATGACGTGGACAGTGCTGGTCCTGCCCCTGGTGAACCAGAGGAGCAGGCAGCCTCCGCAAGGTTCCCTTCACCCCTCTGGCTGTCAGCGGCCACGCTGTGAAAGCCTCCACAGTTTACCTTAGTTCAATTTCTGATCCCTAATAAATCAAAAAAGTCCTCTGGCTCTTGTTACGCTATCGGCCTGTTCTGTACTAAATATACCATCCTCAAAGGGCATTTCATGACTTCTAGCTGGGGTTTGCACACCAAGGCTTGTATCGCGTGTGGCGTTCTCCTCTGGGCTCAGCAGCTGAGCAAGGCGGCCGTTTTCGTCGGGTTTCTAGAACAAGTCTTTGATTGGGTCTTGCTGGTTTGCGTGGACTGTGCTTTTCATGCCAATACTTGGCGCGCAAAGTGCTTACACTCTTCTCAACACTGAGGATCTCATTAGATGTTGTTATTGAAGAAAACAGCATCTTGCTTATAATTTCCCGAGTGTTGCTTTTTCCCCCCTCTGCTTTCTGAACTTCCATTCAATCCAGTAAATGGCTAATTTTAGCATCGTGCCAAATGTTTTATTGCTGTTGTCTATGTATCTTCAAGCTGGTCTATAAACCAATAGGGATTAGATTTTTGGGTTTTTTCTGTCTCATCCCTTGCCAAAATTGGTGCCGTTCATTTGCGCAAAGCACAGGCAATGAAAAGCTGATCTAACCAACATGGTGTGATGGCTTCACCTCCTCAGTGGGCTGTAAAACACCCAGGTGGCCTTGGGAAGAGAACCTAATCCAGGCCCTGAAGATCTCACCTTGCGAGATAAAGCGAGTTAATATGATATTCCTGACGCTGACCGAATTATGTGACTGTTTTGCAGGAAAAAAGAGTACAAGTGTCCCCACCATTGACAAGAGGACCAAGTGCCTTTATACCAGAGAATGAAGTAAGTTTGCGATTAGCTGGGCCAGGTGGGTGGTAGCTTTTAAAATGGAAATACTTAAGGACGGTTTTACGATCCTGCTTGCCCAGTGGTACCCAGATGAGCTTCTCTGTGAGGAAAAGCGGTGGTTTCTCTGGAGCAGGCTCCAGTGGGTAAGAACCACCCTGCCCTTTCACACAAGTGGTGCCGTTTGACATCTTTTCGGTTGCCAGCACTCCTGGAGGCAGCCGTGAGCACTGGCTCTGCTCTTCTCATGGGCGATGATCAGGTATTACTCTTAATGCCAGGCCTAAGGGGATGCCTACCCAGTATTGCAGCAGTATGATTATATAGCTCTCAAAGCAGTGTCTGACCTACAGTTTGAGAGAACCTGAGAACATGACTAACTCCTTAGACCGTAACTGTGGCTCTTGAGATAATTTATGATTGAAAGGTATGGTTTGACTTCAAACTTGAGATTTCTGCCCATGACTTAATGTTCAACTTAAGCCTTGATTTGCAGTTTGCTGCAGTAAGTAGAAACTTTGCTATGGTGGTGTTCTCCTGTGATCTCAATCTTCACAGAGCATTGTTTATTGATCAATTAATTATTTGGGATGGCCAACTATAAAACCAAGACTTTTTTTTGTTTTGTTTTAAGTAGTTGCTAAAGCCAGATAATTCACGTTAGAAGGGCCAAAAAGACATTTTGAAAGACAAGATAGCTGCTGTTCTCTGAGTCTTTCTCCATTTATACACCAGCAAGGTTTGAATCTAAAAACAAACAGAGAGAGTGTAAAGGCTGGCAACAAGAAAACATAATGAAGCAAAAAGGAAGAGAGATCAAAGAGAGCATTTCAGACTTGGGAAGAGGAGAGCAGAATGAGTTCCAGCCAGCCAAACTTGTGAAGAGGACTTCCCTTTCGTATGAAATACGAGATGAAATTGAGATGCCAGACTTCATAATGACTTAATTTTTCTCATAAAGTCAATAATTGTATAAAAAGTAGAAAAATAAGTGGGGTTAAAATGATAACATATTTTGAGAGAATTGTTGACGAATTTATTTCACAGCTGATACACTTGGTACAGGCACTAGCCAAGAGTGGAGGAGGAATCACTGAGTAGCTCTCAGAAAGGAGTAACCCCAGCGGTTACCCAGTACAAGCAGCGAACCTCCACCTGAATGGATAAAACAGCTATTCAGTATCACAAACAAATGTTAAATATTGTTTGTTAAGCAAACAACTACCTTTTCCCCCCCTGTTCCTTGGCATGAAATAATACAGTGGAGAGGAAGGATGTAGTTACAGATTAGTAACACACTGAATGTCTCACAAATCTGGATAACAACACTGCCCGTGTCAAAGCCTGCTTTACTGTCGTAATGGAAGGAATATGGACAGAGCAATAACAATTTAATTGTAAAGGTTCCTGTTAAAGTGCCATAAGACTTTACAAGCAGAATAAAAAAACGTGTTTGTGAAACCATGGATGGTAATAAATCAGGAGGAAGTACATATACAGTATGAAGAGGATAGTAATATAGGTGGAGATAAATCTCAGAAGCAATAATGCCGCATATTGCTATGCCTGACATAGCAACGGTGCAGTCCTACAGGATTATATTTCAATTTTGTCAGCAGAATTTCTTCTCCATAACTTGTACTGCTACAAGGAAAACTCCTGACAAGCTGGAGAAAATTAGAAACCTTACCAGAGACGTGAAAAGTGTGATTTCCCCAAGAAACTACTAAATGAGACAAAGATGTCTTAAATACATGGGAGATAGATACACTTGCTGAAGAATAAGGGGTACTCCTTGGAGTGGAGCAAGGGATATACCGTAATAAGTGGGATAAAATGATCTCTAATGTGTGAATAAGTTTCCGATGGTAAAAATATTCTTAAGGAAAACCGAGGAGGCATCATTTTGGGTACAAAACACAGAAAAGCTGTCATAGTGAAGAGCTACACATGTAAAAATGATGGAGCTGCCTAACCGCGTAGCTGCTTCTTCCCTTTCTTTCTGGGCCCACAAATTAAAACAGGGAAGTACAGTGGTGAGAAGTGAAAATGTAGTATGTTGTTTGTGTTTCTTTGTATGTAACTTCTATATAAGATTTGATGGAAAAATATTTGAGACACAGTCCATTCATCAGCCCATCATAAAGAGGGAAAATGTATTTTAAATACAGTCTTTCAGCAAAAGCATTGTGTCTTCTTGGGTTTAGGCACTTTCTATTTTCATGTGCAGTAAACCAGCTAAAATGTTTTCTCATTTCATGGTGTTTGCAATAGTAAGCTGGCTGGTTGAATACTGTGCAATTGGAGAATAAATACTGGGTATTCTAGTCTTGTGCTTGTAACTTCAGTGGTGAACATGTTGAGAATGGCTGTTCTTGGTGATAAACACTGAGTAATAGCACTAATACTGTGTCAGGGCTTGCAGCGCAAGAGCTACTTACTCTTTTGCTGTTCCATTTCATCTTGTGCCCAAGGTTTGGATTGGTTGGAATAATTAAAGAACAGCTTTTGTTTAAAGAAAGCATTAAATTCCTATTCTAAATAATACTTGAATGTTATGGACAAATTAGCATTTGATCTCCTCTTCAATTATACAAGCACAGAAGGGGTAGATTGCCAGGCTGTTTCTATAATTTGGTTACATAACCCAGTTCCTCTCCATTAATTCTGAATTTGGTTTTAGGGCTGAATGCTCGCTCGGGTGGTGTGTGTCTATACAGGCTGACTTTCATAAAGATTTCACTTTCCATTTAGCACTTGCTTCCCTCCAGCTCTCTGTACAGATTTGACTTTAAGCATCTGCGAGTTTAGCCGTTGTGGAAAGATCTACAGAAGAATGTTTTTGGTTTTCATAGAAACGTATTAAAATAACAGAGGTACAGTGTAAAGTGCTCTTCAGTTCTCAATGTACAAATAACATCTGTATGTGTATATTTGCATGCATGCAAGCATGTACATTTACAAATATACATCCAGATCTCCAGCATTGCCTTTAAGTTTGTACACAAGCAAATCTTTCATAGCGCAGTATGTTTCTCTCCAGGGCTAAAGCTAGAGAAAATCTCTTTTTCTGTTAAGTTTGTCCATCTTATGTTTAAGGTTATGCAAGCAAATGGTTTGGATGAACGTACTAATCTTCTTGTGGAAGAATACTCTACATCTGGTCGCCTGGACAACATCACGCAGGTCATGAGTATCCATACTCAGTACCTGGAGTCTTTCCTCCGCAGCCAGTTCTATATGCTGCGCATGGACGGGCCCCTTCCTTTGCCCTATAGGCACTACATTGCTATAATGGTATGTACCAACAGGCTATATATTTTCTCCTGCAACCTTGAGTTGTGTATTTAAAAAAGAGGAAAAAAGGAAGACTTTAGAAAGGAGAGACTAGTGTGATATTTTGACAGGGGCTGAATTTTCGTAGTTGATTTTCATCAGAATAAAGCATGCCTAGCCAGAAGGTTTTCAATGAGAAGGGAGAATTGGCAACGTACATGTTTCCCTGTTTCCCACAGCAATACACTTCTCACAGGCCCACGGGAGTGAGGTTTTACAGAGAGCAGTTAAAACTGCGTAACCTTATTTCTGGATATTTAACCATCAGTGCGCAGCAGTAGGATGAGACACAGTGGACTCAAGTCGCAACAAATTCCAGGTGGACGCTAGGAAAACAGTTTTTACCATGAGGATGTTGAGACATTACTGCAACGGGGGCCAAGAGAGGTTGTGTGATCTCCAAGGATGGAGATCTTGTCTGAACAAGGCTCCAAGCAACCTGATCTAAGTCAGCCCTACTGTGAGCAGGGGGTTGGACCAGATTTCCTCTAGAGATCTCTTCCAAACTAAATTAGATTCTTCAATTCAGAGTAAAGTAATCAAACGTATTTTTATTGGAGAATCCTCCATACTGTATAGAAATGCATTGCAGTATAAAACATGGCCCTTTGGAAAGAAATTGTATTTTTGTTTTGTGTTAGTAACCTGTCTTCCACCTGCAGCAAAATCAGATGACACACTAATGTGCTGCCCTTTTCCCTCTGTGTTTAATTATTCCAGGCTGCGGCCAGACATCAGTGTTCCTACCTAATAAATATGCACGTTGATGAGTTTTTGAAGACTGGCGGGATTGCAGAGTGGTTGAACGGTTTAGAATACATTCCCCAAAGACTGAAAAATCTGAACGAAATAAACAAACTCCTTGCACACCGGCCCTGGCTAATCACAAAAGAGCACATTCAGGTACCTGTTAAGTCGTGCCCTGTAGTAGCAGTAAATGTCCGGTAGTGAGAACTGCTAAGAACTATGCAAGTGTCTGGTTAGGCTTCATTACCTTGAGTTAAAAAATATAGGAAAGTACTAGAGCATTGAATAAGCCAATGTATTCTTCTGCGTGACAAAGCCAACAAGATTTACTTCTTAGGAATAGCATTGGCTAAAATAACCCCAAAAGAAAGGTAATATATTAGATGTCTCTTTTTTTTATCCAGTGAGAGTTTGTGTGCAAGAGGAATATGGTATTGTTGGAAGAAAGGACTTGATCCCTTTTAAAATACATAAGTGTTTTATAGAAAAGTTGGGGGCCAAAAGAAACTTTGTATTTACACTTCTTTTATTCTCATTTCAGAAACTTGTCAAGACTGGGGAAAATAATTGGTCTCTTCCTGAACTGGTGCATGCTGTTGTCCTGTTGGCACATTATCATGCCTTGGCAAGTTTTGTATTTGGTAGTGGCATTAATCCAGAGAGAGATCCGGATACATCTAATGGAGTCAGACTTATAGCAGTCAACAACTTCTGTGTCTGTGATCTTGCCAATGACAACAACATAGAAAATGCATCCCTCACAAGTAGCAACTTTGGGGTTAGTGTCGCAAGAAGATTCTTTTACTTGCCTCTGTTTTGCATTAGAAAACTTTCTTCCATTCTTTCCTGTTTAAATTTCAGCATAATTCGAAAGTTTTTGTCTACTTTGCTGGAATGCTTGAGTCTGGTAACTCTTAGGTTAGCTCTAGCAGTTTGCAGTGTAATCTATTGAAAGCCACATTGAAATGGCAGATGGTAGTCAGAGCAATGTGATTTTGATAGTTAATCTCAGAACCCATTGGGCAAGACTAAAACTTCGCTTTCAGCTGAAAGCTTAAAGTCCCAGTTTCTTCAGACAGCGTGTCGCGGACTGCAGCATTGTGTCATCCATGTTCCTAAGATGTGGAATGAAAAAAGAAATGGGAAAAAAAAACAGAAGTCATAATAATAACAATTTTGACTTCAAGGCCTACAATCAGAAAACAGGTCAGTTCTGAAACACTTCCCTGTAGATAGGAGGAAATACCTGAAATAAAATTACTTAATTCTTCACGCTGGTGTTCCAGTCTTGAATCAACCAACAGAGAACTTAGATGACTGGTTAATTAACGTAAATGTGGAAATGTTTTTCTGAAAGTGGCTCTATAATACTTTGAAGACACGTCCTTGAATTAATGCCTATTGATGAATTGGCCTCATCGCCTTTGATGGAAGATCGGGATTATGAGCAGAGTCACTAGATATATTTTTTAAAATGACCAATACAATGAGAACATGTAATCAGTCAGTTCAATTGCTGTATATTAAATTTCTGGGCTGTAAGACGTGCTAGCTCAAATCACCGGGGTGTCTAATTCCCCATTTGTAGTGGGCAAACGGCTGCTGCTGAATCTGTGCTGCTTGTTAAGCAGTGAGTAGCACACTAGAAAACAATTACAGCTATGGGCAGAAGAACAGAATTGAAAAGATGGAAAAGAAAAACCAAACAATTTATCATATGAAAAATCTGAATGATAAGTACAGATCACAGAATCCCAAACTTTGATGTGTTTCTAGTAACGAAGCCTATTTTCCTTACAAAAGCAAGAAAAAGGGTCAACATAATGGTTATTTTGATCACAGAAGAGAAAACACTGATTTGCTGTCTCAGGTTGTGTTCCTGCATTGCAGCGTTGCACTTTATGTCTTCAGAAACATACTTTGCGTTACTATTAGACTGAAAAAAGTTACTTTAATATTAAAAGCTGTTTTCTGATACACATAGGGCACACAGATGGCTTTTCCTCAGCCACGTACCTGGTGGAATATATATTATAAGTGACTATGGTTTCCACATTCAAACACCACCTCTTCTGCTGTTAATCCCACTGCAGTAGGTTACTGTGATAGGTTAGAGTAACACTTCCCAGCTCCCTTCTTCTCACTGTCTGAAAGCTGTTTGTCTACACTCTATGTGACAAAATGCATTCTGGCATGAGTTTTCGTGTTTGCTGCTGCTATCTGTTTTTGAGAATGTTTGTTGTCGAGCATGAAATCTGAAGATGACACACGTTGTCTATCTTCTAATTTTGCAGAATGTCATGGTGTTTTTGCAGATTGCAGATTCTTTAAGTGAGCTGGAGGCCTTAATGGAAAGGATGAAGAGGCTACAAGAAGATAAAGAGGACGAAGAAGCCTCTCAGGAAGAAATGGCAACTCGCTTTGAAAAGGAGAAGAAGGAGAGTCTGCTGGTAATTAGTGGAGGTATTTGTGCTTTTCCAGTTCCCTTTTGTTTGTGCTTTGTAAGGACTAAACGCTTGAGGCCAGTTCAGTGACCTCAACTTTTTCTGTCCATTTCTTTATTCTGGCTCTTGGTCTAGTAGGAGCGTAGCAAGTTCCTGTCACTTGCTTCATCTGCTTAAGATTTCTTGATTGGCAAATAACACCATCCTTTTTGCTACTTGAAATTTAGCTTTTGTGTATTAAAAAAAACAGCCTTTAGGCTTCTTTAAAAAGTTGGGTGTAACCTTCTCTGTCTTTATATGCCCTATATCTTCAAATTAATTCATTCATGTAAATATTCAGTAATTTTTCACAGGTTTAAGTTCTACAGTGCTTAGAACTTCTATGACACTCATAAGTAGCCTTCAGATACGACATTTAGTTCAGGAAATAGATTGGGATGAGACTGAACAACTTTACCATTTACTGCCCACCTGGAAAGGACATTTCTAACTTACCGTTCTGAGTGATCGTACTGCTGTGCTGTTCCATTGCCTGTGTTGTGATAGAGATTCTTAGCTTTTTTTTTTATTCTCAAATAATGTTCAAAATTCTGAGCTGAAAGCTTCTTTTTCCAGTATTCTTCATATGCTCTGGAGGCCTTCATCTCTAACAAACCATACAATGAAATCTGTTTCCTATATTCAGGAAGGTGGATTTTTTTTCCAAAGAAAGTGTTTGAAGAAAGAATACTATTAAGACAATCAGAATGTCCAACCATTTCCTCATAGTAGAGGCTACTTGAAGATGACAGCTTGTGTCTTTTTAAGAAGTGACCCATAAAATGCTTCACGTTTTACTGACACTGTTCTTTGTGAATTTAGATTTCAGTAGCTTCAGACCAAACGTGTTTGAAGTTATCTAAGTTTTTGTGCACTGAGCCCAAAAGGGAGGAAGAATGTATTGTGGATCAGCAGAGAGGTTGTTTTATGGCTCGCTAGGAACACGCAGAATCTCTGAAGGAAGACACATCCAGCAACGTTCTGGCTGGATTTTAAGAAACGGACATTGTCCATTCTTGCTCTATTTTTCTTTGGTCAGACAGTATCAACAGTGCAGAAAAACTGACACCCATTGCAGTTTCATTATCAAATCAGGACTTCCATGAGTCTCTGCAACTTCAGGCATATAAGGAAGAGGTGTTGTTTGGGACAGAAGGGGGTTTTTGATGCGGTTGCTGATAGTTTTGTTGACTTTCCTCCCTCTTTGCCTTTTGCTGGTTTGAGTTGAGGAGTCTGTATGTGTTGGGCCTTTACCCTTTCGTGAAATTGAGTCCTTGTCAGGGGAGAGGAGTGTACATGTGCAGGTTTTTTATTCTTCACTGAGGATTTGCTGCAGCAGATGCTGTGCGAGCTTCTTCCTATGCAGTTATGTTTTGATTGTTTAATGAGACAAAGAGGAGATAAAGCACTTCTGCAATTCTTAGATTAACTGACTTTTCAAGGTGCTAACAGTGGACATATGGCAACTGTTCCGTCAATGCCTGTGGAAGCGAGCCAGGATTTTAACATCAGGGTCAAATGCAGTCAGCTGTGCAGTAGTCAACTTCTGCAGAGGTAGTTACACAATCAAGCCACCTGTTTATTCAGGAGGGAAAGATTGATTCCTGATAGAGAACCTGTGCTTGCTTAGTGACACATTTTGGAGCTCTTTGAAGATGCTTAGTTACTAAAGCTTCTGGCAGAATTTCAGCCTGGTGTACTGTAGAGCTCTTTGCTTTCATATAATCTTCAACTGATATTGACAAGTGGAGTGTTGCATTGCTTTCTGGTTGCACATACTCTGGGTTATAGAACAGAGCTGGTGTAATTCCTGACACCATACCTGCTCAGCATAGCAATCCTGTTGTCAAGGGTACATTTTTCTGTTTCTTATCCTAACACAATGACTTTACTAACAGGATTAATCTTCCTGATTTAAGATACCTAGCCTCCCTCAGATGTCAACAGAGATAAAAGCACAACCTCAGACAGAAGTTTAGCCCATCTCTTCCCATTTTGTAGAAGTACATTAGATGGCTGGGGTAGGCTGACATTTGGCTCAATGAAAGGGATGGATCCCATACAAGCAGATCGGGGTTGAAATGTTTCTTTCCTTCATACCGCTCTCTTCCTTTGCACAATGTCTAAAATTGTTCTCTAGTCCTGTAGTAGAGTGGTAGTTGGAAGTCGGTGCTAACTCATGTGCTTGCCTAAAGCAAAGCATTTTGCTGTTTTATTCACAGCATTTGATGATGAAATAGTTTCTACAGATGTCTCCCGCTATATTGAAGATCCTGGGTTTGGGTACAAAGACTTTGCAAGGCGAGGAGAAGACCATCTGCCAACATTCAGAGCTCAGGTACCATCTCTTTAAAGTACATTCACTCAAAGAATGTTTGTATATCTCCTTACAGGGCAAATAGCGTAAAGTGGTTGTAGTGGGGGATGTTTGTTGCATGCTCCTTTTCTTGCCCTGGTCCATAAAATAACTTGCAAGCTTCCATAAATCTACCTGAGATGAGGCTTTTACTATTTGTAAATCTCAGACAAGGGAATATTTAGCTTTCAATCTTATTCCAATTATTACCAGAATTAATGTTTGAAAACTGTAAAGCATATCACTAAATCTGGAATAAAAGTGAAAGGTAGAAAAGAAAGAATTTCTTTTCCATCCCTCCAGATGTTGTAGAAAAAATCCATTGGAAGAACTCTTTATTTCTGTCATTTTATCAAGTATTCTCTGTCCAGTGGTTATCAATACATAGATGTATATATGTCTGTGACAACGATTTGGTGAGTATCGTTCTCACATATGCACCAAATCACTGGACTTTGAGTGTCAGAAAAGAAAAGGAGTTCTTAAATATGATTACTGAAGTTTTTGGCTATATTTGAATATTTTTTTTAGTACTGTTGCATGTACATGTTACCTGTACATTGTCTTACATATTGGCATCTTTTTCCATGACCAGACTCAGGAACTTCTTCATGATATATATAACAGGAGGGACATTCTAGGTGATTTTGTTCCGGCTTATAGAGTAAATTAATCAGCAGTCTAGTAATAAATTGTAAGCAATAGAAGAAGTCTTAAAGCAAATCAGAGAACTTCAATTAAAAAAACAGTGGGTGCAGGAAAACTTCATGGTCAGAAGATGTATCTAAGACTGTAAAATAAAGAATCCGTGACCACTCTCAGGAAATGTATGTAGCTATATAGCAGTCTCTGCTGATCTGGATAGTTTACTCTGCAGTCTTTATATGAGCCTGAAGTAGGTAGATACTGCCAAAAAGAATATGACAGAGTCAGTGCCTGTAAATCAAACATTCTGCTTAACTACTTTAGGAGCAGCAGGGTCCCATGGAAAAAAAGCTCTACAGAAGTTGAAATTGGAACTAAAACATCTCTGCTCTTAAATAAACAGGACAGCTTCTGGCCTACATTCAAAGGAGTCACCTTGATAATTTAACTTTATTAGTATGTCCTACTCTTAAGCAGTTAGATGTACATACCCATAGCCTCCCAAATGCTCTGTTATTAATGCAATTTTACTTGCAGTAGCATCCCAAAACCCTGCAATAAATCCAATCCTTATTCTGGTAAAACAAGAGTGCCTTTATCTCTGTGGGTTTAAATTTAGTAATAGAAAAAGGTATTCCATACACCGCAGAATGTCTTTAATTTTTTTTTCCCCCTTTTTCATTGTTAGTATGGATTAACTGTTGTTAATCAGTTAAACAGCGCTTTTGCCCTCCTGAGGCTTCTGGTTTTCAGAGACTTTTGTGGTGCCCCAGGTGTCCTGGACACCTTTACAGGGCTGGTAGGTACAGCATATTTCTCACAAGCCTTGTGTCATGGTTTAACCCGAGCCGGCAGCTAACCCCCACCCAGCTGCTCGCTCACTCCCCCCCCGGTGGGATGGAGAGAACTGGAAGAGTAAAAGTGAGAAAACTCGTGGGTTGAGATAAAGACAGTTTAATAGGCAAAGCAAAAGCCACGCACACAAGCAAAGCAAAACAAGGAATTCATTCACTCCTTCCCATGGGCAGGCAGGTGTTCAGCCATCTCCAGGAAAGCAGGGCTCCATCACGCGTAACGGTTACTTGGGAAGACAAATGCCATCACTCCAAACGTCCCTTCCTTCCTTCTTCCCCCAGCTTTATATGCTGAGCATGACGTCATATGGTGTGGAATGTCCCTTTGGTCAGCTGGGGTCAGCTGTCCTGGCTCTGTCCCCTCTCAGCTTCTTGTGCCCCCCCCAGCCTACTCGCTGGTGGCGTGGTGTGAGGAGCAGAAAAGGCCTTGACTGTGTGTAAGCACTGCTCAGCAGTGACTAAAACATCCCTATGTTATCAACACTGTTATGGTCATAAATCCAAAACATAGCCCCACACTAGCTACTATAAAGGAAATTAACTCTATCCCAGCCAAAACCAGCACACCTTATGGTCTTTTGGACTGGCAGCTGGAGGCCAAATGTGATGTTGTGCTGCGTTTCAGATGTCACTGAATGCCTCTGTTTGTTAGGCAGCTGAATATTGTTGTACATACTCTTCCCCACTATCCTAATCAGCGGGCCAGTCCAGCAGACGTGCTCTAAAGCGCCTGGGTGAGGACCCTTGCCCAGTAGTACCTTTTGAAAACAGCCAGACACAGGAAGGACGTGGAGATGATGCCCTTGATTGTAGAGATGGCATCAGTGACTGAATGATGGAACACTTGCCAAGGATGTGGGCAAACTAACATGTTCTGTATAACTGCAGCATGGAGAGTGGTTGCACGCTGCTCTGAAGCAGGGTCGTTCTCCACTGCCGATGCCGTGCCACTACTCTGCAGATTTCCCATTCCTGATATGAGCAGGCAAACTTTTATCCTTGCAATCCAAGTGCTTGTCTAATACCAAAGCAGCCTGGAT